CGTCTTCCTCCAACAAATCCGTTCATCCATCCATTTTTGGAGATCGTCAACACCTTTCACGCCCATACTAAGAAGCTTCCAATAGTCTTCCTCCCTCATAACATGAGCACCATCTCCTCCATCCAGACTTTCAGTCGTAGGCATAAGCTCTGGTGGAGTCTCTTCCCAAATCATAACTTTATAACAGAAACAATCATCGTGGATGGAGATCGCTTGAGGACAAGTAGAACCACTGCACACTGTAATATGCACACTTTCAGCATCTTTGGTCTCATCAGCTTCAGCCCACACAAACCCTCCACAAAAATCACCCCCAGTTACAAAAAGGGAACGACACCATAAGTGTAAAGGAAGGCCATACAGTCGAACCCTTTTCAACCCTTGTTCCTTCAAGATACCTGCGCATCCCACCCTAAAACTCCAAGTGTCCACGCACAGCGTCGTCTTACTGTAGTCTCGTCGGGCCCTCATTCAAAACCCGACGTGCCTCCGATTGGGATGTGTCAAAGTTGAAAAGAGAAATAGAAAATGAAGAACATGAAAATATACGTGGTTTAGCCACTAGGGCTTACATCCACGACACATAAACCTCAAAGGGCTACATATCTTTATTATACTCTCTTAATCTTTCTATACAATGATCACCTCTATTTATAGGTGAAAGAATACAAGTGATAAATATGGAAAATACATTGATGGAAGATTCCTAAAAAAAAAAATTGATAAGTAAGATTTTATAAAAGGCGCTCAAAAGGGGAGCGCTCCCAAAAAAGACAACAACCGTCCAAGACGACACTATAGCTTTAAGCTATCCACAATATCCAAAAGAGAATCCATTGAATTACAGTCCCGCCCATTTACCCAAAAGAATAAAGAAGTAATAATACTATATTTAATAGCCCAAATGGGAGACTCCTCTCCCTCAAAAAATCTCCTATTTCTCTCACGCCAAAGGCCCCACCAAATGCAAAGGAGAGTGGCCCTCCAAGCAGCTCTGACTCGGCTCTCCACTATACACCCATTCCAAGTCTCTAACAAGTCCATCGTGGATTCTAAGAACACCCAAGAAAGACCAAAAGCACCCAAAAACATAGACCAAACATCCCTAGCCACCGAGCAATGAATAAGAAGATGGTTGACAGATTCACCCATTGTCTTGCACAAACAACACCTGTTGAAACTAAATATGAAGTTATGAGAGTCTGAGACGAGTAAATCTAACACGAGTTGATCCGAAGATCCAAGACAAGACTAGTTGATCCGAAGATCCGAGACGAGTTGATCCGGAAATTCAAGATGAGTTTATCCAGAGATCCGAGATGAGTAGAGTATAGGGTAGGGTATGATAAACATGCTCTGATACCATCTCAAAGTTGAAGAGAGAAATAGAAAATGAAGAACATGAGAATATACGTGGTACAGCAACACATCCATGGCACACAAAACTCAAAGGGCTACATATCTTTATTATGCTCTCTCTTAATCTTTCTATACAATGATCACCGCTATTTATAGGTGAAAGAATACAAGTGATAAATAATTAAATATGAAAAATACATTAATGGAAGATTCCTAAAATTAATACCATAAATCACTCCAATCAAATATTTTATCATAGGCTAAAATCTCTCCTCTGAAATTCTCATATCAAATATTCTATTAAGGAGTAATTTAAGGGTTCCTATAATAATATTTTCCAACAAGATAGAAAGTGGAAAAAAAGTAACGAATCAGGTAATGGTACAACATCAACACCACAAGCAATATTCCACACTCGCAACGCCCAATCTGCAATTTTTTATCACAACCCCCAACCTCTTTGTCAAACTTCCCCACCAAACAAGACAACAGATCGTCCCTACGTCTCCCAACACAAGTATCATCCAAATACATTGAAGGTCCTCTGTTCGGCTTGGCAGCATTAACCGTCCCCCCCTAAAAGAGGCGAGGAAGCCTTGTGATTTCAAGGAAAGAATAACCAAAGAAGCCACATCTAATTCTGCGAGGAGGCAATTTGTTATGTCCATGGCTCTTTTTACTTGTGCACTCAACTCATTGTAGGAATACGAGACAATTTGGCTAGTGGAGGAATGGGGCTAAGGATCACTAGGAACGCAACAATTATCTATCACTGGTGTTAACTACCATCTACTCCAAAAGCTTAAACTATTAGAGAGGGTGTAACTTAAATATATAAATCCTTCAACACACCCCCTCACGTGTGTCCTTCTTTTGGTCCAACACGTGTTTTTTAATTTTTTAATTAGGGTGATGGTGAGGTTTGAACTTGAGACATTTGGCTCTGATACCATGTTAACTACCATCTACTCCAAAAGCTTAAGCTGTTAGAGAGAGGGTGTAACTTAAATATATAAATCCTTCAAGAACTGGCAAATGCAAAACACTATATAAGGGAACAACTGTCTGATTTGCCAAGTAGGTTTTCCATACGATTCCAAACAAATATGAATAATATAACAGGTACTTTAACAATACCGGCAATGATGTGCTTCACCTTGTCCACATTGACCACATCCGTGAGCAAGGCCACCTTGAACTCGTGTACCACTCATGTTTCATCCACAGCCGTGATTACCACAGTCCGTTGTAGACTTTAGCCTATTGGATGAGGTCAAGAATGCGGAATTTTCTCTCCTAGTGGATTTAGCAAATGAAGAAGATAGTTCAACAACTCAAAGTAAACAATCATTAATGTTTTAGGGATCCAGATCTAAACTAGCAGCAAACATGGAAAAAATTGTGCAAGCTGATTTCAAAACATTTCCACTCCGATTAGGGTTACCAATAGTTCAAAATGGCAAATTTCTACCAAGGATGAAAAACCAAAGCTTAGACAACAAACAATGAGCTACAAGTGACAAGAATTTAAATTATATATATATATATATATCACAAGGTTTGAAACTGTTACCAAAATCCACCCATGGAGCGTTTATTGAGGTCCATAAAAAATATATATCACAATGTTTGAAATTGTGAACAAAATCCACCCGTAGAGCATTTACTGATTCCATCCATTTCAACAATCACCTATGATCCTTCCAACCACTTCAATTGCAAATTTTCTATGAGTGAGAAGATGTAGCAGTCTTGTTTTTCATGCAAGAAAAAGAACCCGAATATGTACTTTTGAGTACATTTCAGGTGAGTATTCTTGTTGGGTCAGGTTTCTGGTTAGTTTGCCCATAACAATGTCGGCTGTCTCTAGTTTCCTCGTGTCTACATAGTGTTGACAAGGTGAAGAATATCAGCAGGATTACCAACAACATCTATTTTAGGGTTTGGATCAGGGTAGAATGGGGGGTTCTAACAACGGTTTCAAAATGTGGACAAGGCCCAGACACAGACTTGGTTTCAATGTAACTAACACGAGGTGTAATGGGTCTAACAAGCGTCAATGGCATTGAAACTACGGCTGTGAAATTCTCTCAATGTGGTGACTCGGCCAAATTGGAAGACAATCAGAAGAGAGACAGACAAGTCCTTATGGACTCAGATAAGTCTCATGTGATTCAAATTCCCACTAAGATATCAGTGAGTATTGAACTTGGACTAGGATAACTTCCTCTTTTTCCCTTTGGGGCATTTACTAGCCATGTTATATTTTCTTAATATGGTACTTGTTAGTAGTGTATTTCATTTCAAGTCTGTTACGACTTGGTCGACGTGCAGAGACTCTGACATGATTACTGGCAGTCTCGCTGCTCAGATACCATGTTAAAGGAGGATGGGCAGGAGGAGAAGGAACAGAGAGAAAGAGAGAGCTTAACCAAAAGTAAAGGCCAACTTGTTTATGTGATGTCCCACATAGCTTGGGGGAGAAGTTGCTAACACTTGTTAAGGGGGATGCCTTCTACGGTTCTACTTGTGTAAACGCATTTTTTTTTTTTTTATAGGTAAGATTTCATAAAAGACACTCAAGATGGGAGCGCTCCCAAAGAAAACACAAAACACCAAAGGCGACAACCAAAGCTTTAAGCTATCCAACAAAACCAAAAGATCCCCTAAAGATTTACAATTACACCCGAGGACGCTGGGTCCCTACAAGGGGTGATTGTGACGCATTTTGGCAACCCTGAGCACGGAGAGTGCAAAGCAGACAGTATCTACACAGTGTGGGCTGGGTCCTAACATATAATATCAGAGCCAATCCCCAGCCGGAGATCGAGGAGTGTGCACAAGTCTACGAGGGTCAGCGAGCAGGGATGTTGGGTCCCAACAAGGGGTGATTGTGACATCAAACTTCACCTTGAGGGGAGAAGTTGTTGACACTTATGGGGGGAGCCTCCAACCTATGTAGACGCATTTTGAAAAGCATGAGCTCGGAGAGTGTAAAACGGACAGTATCTACACATTGTGGGCCGGGTCTTGATAGTTTCACTCTTTATTTTTAAATATAAAGTTACATTAATTACAATATAACTCCAACACTTGCTACAATTTAAAAAATTCAAAAGAAAAGCAACCCAGGGACCTTGGGACAGAAGTCAATTCCCATCAGCTCAAACATGACAAGAATATAGAGGAACCACAGAAGCATGATGAATTTTAGAAACATAAAAGGATGTATTCAAAATTGTGAGAAATCTCGGGGAGATAGGTGCAGCTTAACCAAAAGAATTATTAAATTATCATTCCAAATAACTTTAAAGAGTTGACAACAGGGATTTGACTTTTGACCTATTGATATATTATGCAATTGATGAGATGGTTCTAAAAACAAATGGAAATGAAAGCCAACTCACTGAAATTTCACTTTTAAATAACTTAGCTACCAAGTGGATAAAATCATACACAGGTGCAATTAAAAGTTTGCAGGAAGTGCTCTTAAAAGTGAAACAGACAGATAGCATGTAAGTTAAAGTTGACAAGGTTGTATGATTGAAAATTAAAAATTTAAATCAACCTCTAACATTGAAAGCCAAATATGCAGCAGAATAATATTTCATTTTACTACTACGATCTGGTTTAATATTAACCTTTGCAAGCTTCATAACCATTGCAATTGATGCTTTGCGAATATTGTCCACTCTATTCATTATTCCTTCTGTTAGTAAAAAAGGCAAAACAGTATCCATTGCTTGTTTTGCATCTGATATTTCTGTCAGAGAGACATCACATAGCCTTGTCGTCAATGAAGTAACAGCACGGCATAACTTGTCACCAGAATTTCGAACAGTCTCTTTTATGTCATCCATTGCACGGAATGCAGCTATCCATATTTTTTTCAAATGTTTCCCGACCTATACGACAAATGAATTCAAATGCACGAGTGCCATAAAAAAGAAATTAGTCAGTGCATGCTGGAGATGCAATATAACAAAGACTATTGAAGAATTACAGCATATATCATGCAAAAGTTGAAAGTTGACGTATGATAATACACAAATACTTGTATGGGCTAAAAAATTAGCCATATTATGGATGTGAAGAAAAATAAGGAATTAGATAGGTACGATATGTGATTGCAAAGTGATTGCGGTGCTACAGGTCTAATCAACTCAAGTATACTACAATGAACTCTGGTAGGATAAGTATTAATGCTACATTTTGCTATATACCACATGGAAGTAACATGCTACTAAGACAGATACAAAATATGGAACGACGTCAGAATAACCTTGATGTGTTTTTGTGAAAGGATAAATACTTCAATGCCGAAGAGTTGGGACCATGAAGATTTAGATAAAGAGAGAGCGTGGGTAGAGAGAGAGACATTGAGGAGTACGATGGCAGTGGACTTGTTGGTGGTGATCAATTGGGTAATCTGGGTTGGAGACACAAGTTAAAGACCCAAAATAGTGAAATCTTATCCAAGCCAAATTTCACTAATTTAGGGTTTTCAAGATTGATTTCATTGTTCTTAACTTTATTTGAATATATAAAAATCAGATAATTTTCACATATATATAGATATATATACACTACATTAACACACATACATTTATGTAACCCATATATGTATCTTCAAACCAAACAGGATAAAAAAATTAAGACACCATCTGAGAACTGGATGAAAAAGTAGAAACTGGGTGGGCCTTGCACAACCTTTATTGAAAGGCAGTTTCAAAATGAATGAATGTCCATAATTGCAGATGATTTGTTTTGTAGTAACAGTGGAGTAATTTGTGATCTGAAGGAAAAAAAAAAGAAGCTCGATGTTAATTTTATAAAAAAAATAAGGTTGTTTGGTAATTAAATGCCATTGTATGGTTAACAATGTCATTTTAGATGGAGGGATGGACATTTTGGTCAGACCATGCATTTTTTTTTTTTTTGGGACACGGGGATATTTGTAACAAGTGACCAAACATCAGGGGAACACAGTGCAAGATTTTTGAAAAGTTTCTCCCGAGTATAATTAGGGCAAACCTCGGGGGAGGTCAGTGTATTTTAACCTTCTACACTTTCAATTTGTAGATATGGATTTTTAAATTCTAAAACTGCACCAGACTAATAATCTTTAGCCACCAATTTAATCTCTGTCTATCTCTCCCTTATCACTAGATAATCTAGATCTCTGCAGCATATAGAGAAAAACAAAATTCTTCGTATAGTAGTAAGAAAGACTAAAACTACTCCAACCAACATTGGAGCCTACATTTCTAAAGCAAAATCTAGGAAAAGCCTTCAGAGAGGTTAACAATCCGAAATATCTCAAAATTACATTTATTAAGTCATGTTACAACAGATAAAGGGCGCTGTCCCTTTTATAATATAGCCATTAATGACACTGGCTTTTCATCTACCCACAAATCATTAACATCTTTTAGTATTCTCACGACGTCTTCAAAATCATTAACATCTTTTACTATTCTCATGACTTCTTCAAATTCCTATACCATAATTATTAAAGAATAAACTTTGACTAGACACTTTTCAAGAGACTATTTACTGCATCAATCTCCATCTTTAATCCTTTATTTTATTATGCTACACAAATCTCTTTCACCTAATTTTTCTTTGATGAAGAATCACAATCTATAAGAAGGTAACAAAAAAACCTAAATAAAGCATCCTTGTCTACTTATTCTTCCTCTTTTCTTATATCAGACGTAAAAATCATGAATATATACCCGTTAGAAAAATGTGAAGACCATATTGTGAGCAATTTACCTATCCATTTGGTTTAATTTAATCATCAGTTAGCTTTTTAAGCTTTTGATTTGAAAAACCTAACTGAAAATAGTTTAAGTTCCCAACAAGACAAGTTGTATTCATTGATTTTTAAGCAAGTCCTCCTTGTTGAGTCTTAACTAATTTGACTTATTAGAAAATTCTTACAGCATTCACTGTAAGAGAGCAGTTCTAAAGCAAAATCTAGGAAAAGCCTTCAGAGAATTTAACAATCTCAAAATATCTCAAAATTACATTTATTAAGTCATGTTACAACAGATAAAGGGGACTGTCCCTTTTATAATAATACAGCCATTAATGACACTGGCTTTTCATCTACCCACAAATCATTAACATCTTTTAGTATTCTCATGACGTCTTCAAAATCATTAACATCTTTTACTATTCTCATGACGTCTTCGAATTCCTATACCATGATTTTTTTTTTTGATAAGTAATAATTGAAATAAAAAGGCATTCAAGAGGGGAACGCATCCCTTATACAAAAGTGGAACTAGGGATTAAGATCCCAAAGAAGCCAAAAAAAAATTAAATCTTCGGAAGAAAAACAGGACTTCCTCTTCACATAACTGAAAAGTTCCTATACCATAATTATTAAAGAATAAACTTTGACTAGACACTTTTCACTATTTACTGCATCAATCTCCATCTTTAATCCTTTATTTAATTATGCTACACAAATCTCTTTCACCTAATTTTTCTTTGATGAAGAATCACAATCTATAAGAAGGTACCAAAAAAAACCTAAATAAGGCATCCTTGTCTACTTATTCTTCCTCTTTTCTTCTATCAGACGTAAAAATCATGAATATATACCAGTTAGAAAAATGTGAAGACCCATATTGTAAAGAGAGCAATTTACTTATCCATTTGGTTTAATTTAATCATCAGTTAGCTTTTGATTTGAAAAACCTAACTGAAAATAGTTTAACCAACAAGACAAGTTGTATTCATTGATTTTTAAGCAAGTCCTCCTTGTTGAGTCTTAACTAATTTGACTTGTTGGAAAATTCTTATAGCATTCACTGTAAGAGAGAATGAGGGCCACGCTACAACATATCCACGCATTTGATTATGTTTTGTTTTGTATAATTGTGTTACTTAAATATACACAGTTTTTCTCTTCAATTCGTATGCAAATCTTGCTTAATATAAAAAATTCATCCAATAAAATTGTAAATGTAATACACGAAAATATTATCAATTAATAATAAATTCTTATATAAACTATTTTGTGTAAAATATATATATATATATATTTTGTTCAATTTTTTAATCTTATTATTCTTCAATGTTGCCCCGCCAAGGTGCAAACTGAATTTCTGACTGTGCCACTAGTAATGGGAGAATCTAATTATAGAGAATTGTTGACCTTTATTCGAATTAGGTACAAAGGACGGGCAAATGAGTAATATAAACTTGCTTAGTCAAGGAAGAAAGCAATCTTGAGAGTTTAACAATATTAAGTGGCACAAGAGTGATGGTATAAGGATATTAGTGAAAGCTAATGAAATTTGAAAAAAGGAGAAAATGTCGCATTAAGAATTGTTAGTGGCAATCATACATAATACTGCACAAGCAGATGTTTAAGGTATAATATCCAGTTTAGCCACTTATACATTCAGAACCTGTGTAGAAGTGTAATCTGATTTATTTATTATAGAGCTTACAGTACTTTATTACTTATAATGCCGTTCCCTATAAAAAAGCTACCGTGTGGTACCTGGTTTCCAATTTAGAATGCGACACCCCTACAGGCGTCTGCAATCATGGTTTACATGGGGAAAATAGCATCTACAACAGATAGTCTAGTAGTCTATACTTCCTGCAATAGGTTTCTTCTTAATTCTGCTGTTGTAAAAAGAATATAGAAGTCATTCATTTAAAATAACGGGTAATTTTTCTATAATGTATAATGGAAATAACCAAATGAAGGACACAACTAAGAGGGTAACTTTTCTACAAAGCATAATGGATATAATCAATTGTACGACACAACTATGTAGAGGATATGAATCCGTACATGTCATCCCTTTAAGTTTCCAAATGGATTATAATATAGTCATTTAGCTATCATGTAAGTTCAAAAACTGTCTACAGCCTATAAACTGATATTAAGCTGATAACCTGATAGAATTTCCGTCCTTGGATGATATCTGCAAGAGCGAGACAAGAAGCCTCACGTGAACGCCAAAGCCTTGAACCGCATTGCATCAAAAGGTCATCAATAATAAGGTCATAGTTTTCATCAATGGTTTTCTTTGAGTCTGCCACCAAAGATTTCCAGATATGTGTCATTGCATCCTAAAGCAAGGCAGGAACATAATGCAATGAGAATAAAAAGAACGGAACAGATATGCATGAAATGATGAAAGAATTGATAAATATATATATGTATATATGTGTATATATAGTTATATATTATGTCAAGGTATTCCCAAAAATAAAGAAAACTAAAGAAAAACCATTAGGGTCCGGGTGATTCCATGGAAATTGACAGTAGAAAGTGGAAGTGTGAGAAAATTAAGTGAATGAAAGAAAAATCAATTTTCTAGCATGCATCTGGTTAGCATGATTCAAGAAAGTTGTGGGAAAGTACCATTTCATGGTTTGGATAGCATAAAAGTTAAAAGAAAATATTGTGGTTTACCTTAATTGTCCTTATTTTCATTAAAAGGGATAAAAGGTTTAAATAATTTTTTACCAGATAAATATTTTTGGAATTTTTTAAAGAATAAAAGCAAAATAAGAATATAAATAATTAATTTTGGAGTAACATTCAGAGAGAGATACAAACCATTATATTATGCTTATACAAAGTTATGCATAAACACGCTTTATTTAGAAAGATAAAAAAAGGGTATAAGTGTAAGTTCACACAATTTTCTTAAGAAAGCAAAATTTTCTTATAGTTTTTGGAGGAAAAAGTTATGGAAGTATTAGGGGGTCATGGAAAGTTACTTTGTAATGCAAGGGATTAAAAAGAACGTGAATACATGCTGAAAAAGCAATTAATGCAGTAAAGGAAATTCAGATAAAAACCGAACAATTATCCTCTAAAGGCCAAATATCTCTTCATCTGGAGCATAAGAGAATGTGTACCTGCACATTTTTATCAGGATCATATTGGTAACGAACAAGCCTTGGAATCAATAACCGTAGGTGCTGTTTTAGAGCATCCCCTGCTTGCTTGGCTATCTTCGAAAACCCAAAAGCAGCACCCCTCTTGGAATTTAAAGAAACCTGATAATTAGCCAAGTCCATGAACTTATAAATTAAGTCTGGCTGCCCCATCTCATTAGCCATATTGCAGAGTTCCTTGTAAGTGCTAAGTTTCCCTCCATTGAGAGTTCCACCAATAGTACCCTCTTGAAACACTTCAGAGTCTTCAACAAGCTGGACAGGGAGGAAATAAATTATGGAACTTCAGATTTGAAAACAGAAAGCCACAGGAGAAATAGAAGTAAAAAATAAGAAAAGGATATAGGAATTTCTTCCCACTTTGACAGCGCGCTTCCTCTTCCCTGAACCAGTCAAGGTTCCAACAAGTGCATTTAATAAGTTCTTCTTCATTGTTTCATCGCCAAGTTCATATACAATACTTAGGCCTTGGGATGCCAGCTCCTGTGTAAGTTCATTCTGCTCGCCTAGTAGGTGCGAAAATGCTTCCTGCAGTCATTCAAACAGTGTTTCAACTGAATCTCGTCCCTAACGCAGGTAGAGAATAGAATGGCCAGAAGTTGATAGTGATAAGCATTCTAAAAGTCGTTAAGCATTAAGCATTTACATTAATAGTGTTAGAATATATATAGGCGTATTTTGTATTTCTTATACGGGCATGTTGGTCATTTTCCTTGTAATATAACTTGTTTATATAAAATAAGTGAGAGAGGGCCAGCTGTGTTTCCCTCCAAAAATATTTTTCAGATCCCATACACACTGTTTTTTCTTCTTCTCTGTAATTCCTACATTCAACATGGTATCAGAGCAAGATTCTGGTCAAATAATATCAAAGCTCATCATTGTTAGTATCGTTGATCATTGTTGCCAGCAAGAGTCTAACCGCTGTCATCATTTAACAGAAAATTTTGTCACTATAAGTGGCTGCCGTTGTGTTGTTTGTGTTTATCGTTGTAATCGTGGTGATCTTTATCGTCGTTGTGTGACGTGTGTGGTGGTGGCCATTGTCGTGTGTTTGGTCGTCGCTTGGTTGTGAGTTATCACCGTCATTGAAAAAGTTGTCCTCCTGCAGCGGCTAGGGTTATCGTTTGCAAATAAGGTTATTGAATATTCATCTGAGACAAGACCCGGCCCAATCATTACCACTAATATTAACCCAGCTGGATCAGCCTTATTTGATCCACTTAGATCATCCTCTTAACCAAACCAGTTTCCGGCCAACCAATTTCCGGCCGACCATTCCGACCAGTCAAGTTCCGGCCGGCCAACCAGTCAAGTTCCGGCAAGTCTAGTTTCAGGCAAGATATTTTTTGTTGTTCTGTACAGTTTTCGGATAGTTCAGTTTCCAGCCAGTTCAGTTCTAGACACTAAGGGCCTGTTTGATTTCCTACTTCAGCGCTGAATGCAAAAGACGGTAAGTAATTTTTAAAAATAAGTGCGTTTGATAAAATTTTAGGATAATGCTTAATATGGTAATTATCGCTTAAAAGAGGCTAAAATTTTAAGCGAGGAGAGGGTTACTTATCGCTTATCACAGAAGACGGTAAGTGATTAGGTTTTAAAACTATTTTTTTAATGACTACTCTACCCTCAAATAATCACACTCTCTCTTCTAGACTTCTCTTTGCAATTTCTTTAAAATTCTCTTTTCGATTTCTCTCTCCATCCGGAAATTGAGTGAGTTTTTTTTTATTATTATTATTTTTTATCAGGAGTGAGTTCTCTCATTCAAAAACCCTTCTATATATATTTGGTTGGTTGTTACTTTTTTTTTACTTTTACATTAGAGAACAAATTCTTTAAAAAATATATAATTTTACCAAATTCCCAAAATAATAATAATAATAATTTTATGTATTATATTATAAACACGTCTTTTTAGTTACCTATTCAAATTGATTTAACACCAGTATTTGTATAATAGAATTCTATTTCTAGATAAGAATTTTTTTTCACCTACTTTCTTTAATAATTTTAACATCCTTTTCGATACCGTACATAAATATTATATCATCCAAAGCCATATATTTTAAATTTTCTATCACTTATATATATAATAGAATTCTATTATTGGATAAGAATTCTTTTTCAAGTACTTACTTCGTAACACCCTTTTCAATACTATACATAAATATTATGTAATCAAAAATCAATATATTTTAAATTTTACTTTTTTCGGTAAGTTATTTTAAAATTTACTTTCTTTAATCTTTGTAACACCTTTTTCGATATCCTACCTAACAATTTAACAAATATTATGTAATCCAAACCCATATATTTTAAATTTTACTTTCTTTAATCTTTGTAGCACCTTTTTCGATATCCTACAAAAATGTTATGTAATACAAAATCCCTATATTTTAAATTTTTTTCAATTATTTATATAATATAATTCTATTTCTAGATAAGAATTTTATTTTTTTATGGTTATTTGACATTATTATTCATTGTTAAATTGATGTATTTCATTGAGTGAATTAATGTGGTTATTTTATTAATATTTTTATATTATAAATATAAAATTTTTATGAGTACCATATATTGAGGGCAAAAATGTAATCTGTATAACTTTCAGACTTCAGTTTTTGTACATAACAAACAATCTTAATAAATTCAGTACTTAAAAGTAAAGTATTATCAAATGGGGTTTCAAATTAATACATTCAGCACTTAAAATTTCAGCGCTTAAAATTCAGTACTTAAGATTTTCAGTGCATAATTTTCAGTTTTATCAAACACCACCCAAGCCAACTATGTTTCTATTGGCCAGTCAACTTCTGGCCAGGCAGTTCTTCCGGCAAACCAATTTCCAGTCAATTTCTTCCTTGTGTTCTGATCTCTTCATCTAATATGGAACCACGAAACTATAGTTACAGTGGACGGATGAATCATACTATCAATTATTACTGGGATCTTCATGGCAAATCGCCTAGTTATGCAAATCAGGTTTCTTGTAAGAAGGATGCTCCAATGTCACATGCCCAAGTTTCTGTTTCTTGCCAATCAGACATGATCACTATCCCAAGTGCCAAGTATACTCGGCTTTTATCTCAACAGGTGTCATTGTCGTCTTCCATGGCTATCTCTGCTCAATCAGATGTTGCATCCGAATGTTTACTATCTTTGGCGCATAGTCCCTGGATTATTGATTCAGGAGCATCAGATCATATGACTTTCATTCTATCACCCCTTCTCAGCGTATCACTCTTGCTAATAGTTCATCATCTAAAGTTTCAGGTGTTGGAATGACTCAACTTAATTCTTCCCTATCTATGTCATCTGTTTTACATGTTCCTCAATTTCCCTTTAACTTGATGTCTATCAGTAAGCTTAAAAAGCCCTTCATTGTTCTGTTACGTTTTATCCCACTTATTGTGTTTTCCAAGATCTCAAGAAGAAGATTGGTACGGGCATGAAGCTGGTGGCATATACTATTTTGACTTTAAGCCTTATCCTATGGTTTGTCATTCTTCTCTATCTCCATTTCAGTGACACTGTCGTCTTGGTCACCTGTCGCTTCTGGTTTTGCAGCACAAAGTCCCAAGTCTTAGTACGTCTTTGTCATTTGAAGCTTGTCAACTTAGAAAGCATCATCGTACATCCTTCGAATCTAAGACTGATAATCATGTGTCTAGTCCTTTTTGATTGATTCATTCAGATGTATGGGTCCAATAAAACATACATCTATTAATGGATTTCGTTCCTTTGTGACTTTTGTGGATGATCATTCCCGTATGACTTGGTTGTTCTTAACGAAAGATCGCTCTGAATTATTTTCAATTTTTCAAATATTTCGCAAGGAAGTTAAAACCCAATTTGGATGCTCACTTTGTGTCTTGTGGTCTAATAATGCTCACTCGGTTTTCTTAGTGAATGGGTCACCAGCAGGTTTCTTTGCAAGTTCGAGAGGTTTACGTCAGTGGGACCATTGTCCCCTTTCCTATTCATTATTGTAATGGAAGCCTTTAGTAGACTCATGAAAAGGGCAGAGATTCTGGGCTTTATACAAGGTTTTACAATGGGCTATGCACCAAATCAGATTTGTACATCTCACTTGCTGTTTGTTGATGACACTATTGTGTTTTGTGATGCTAGTGTGAATCAAGTGAGACACTTGAGGTGTGTTTTGGCCTGTTTTCAAGTGGTTTCGGGGTTGAAGATTAATATTGGAAAGAGTGTGATTGTTCCAGTAGGGGATGTGGGATATATTCATGAGTTGGCAGCTATTTTGGGTTGCAGAGTGGAGGTTTTTCCTATTTCTTATTTGAGGCTACCATTGGGTGCTTCCTCGAGGAGAGTTGTTGTTTGGGATCCAGTGGTGGAACGTTTTCAAAAGAGGTTATCTGGTTGGAAGAAGCAATATTTGTCGACAAGGGGTAAACTTACATTGCTGAAGAGTACCTTGGCTAACCTTCCTACATATTTCATGTCTTTGTTTCCAATCCCTAAAACAGTGATTGGTAGACTTAATAAGATTCGGGGGAACTTTTTTTTTTTTTTTGGTTGTGGGGGGGGGGGGGGGGGAGTACCACCTTGTGAATTGGGAGAAAGTGTGCACCCCGATTCAAAGAGGAGGCTTGGGACTGCGCAGGTTGGAAATGTTTATTAAAGCTCTGTTAGGGAAATGGTTAAGGAGATTTGGATGCAAAAGGTCCGTGTTTTGGAGGCGAGTTATTGCTTGCTGGTTTGGGGAAGAGGAGGGAGGTTGGGTCTCCAGAGGTGTGAATGCATCAGCAGGTATGGGATCATGGAAAGGTATTAGGAGGGGTGGGACGAATTCTCTAAGCGGATACGGTTTCGAGTTAGGGATGGTAGTATTGTGAAGTTTTAGACGGATGTTTGGTGTGGGGATGTGGCGTTGGCTTGTAGGTTTCCTAGACTTTATAGGATGGTAGAGGTGAAGCATGAGGTGGTGGCAGATTATTTTAGGTTAGAGAATGGGCGAGATAGTTGGGATGTGAGATTTCGTACAAATTTTAATGATTGGGAGTTGTTGGAGTTTATCGAATTAGTGGAATTAATTTATAGTCAAGTGGTGGAGGGGGAAGGAAGGGATGAGATGGCGTGGAAGGGGGATTCTAGAGGGGTGTTTAAGGTGAGGCTGTTTTATAGAAGTCTTACAAATTTGATGAGCAATGGGTTTTCTTGGAAGGCTGTTTGGAGGACTTTAGCTCCAATAAAGGTGGCTTTTTTCACAAGACAGCGGTGCTTGGCAGCATTATTACTTCGGACAATCTCAGAAAAAGGTGCCAAATAACAGTTAATTGGTGTTGCATGTGTAAGAAGGCGGGCGAATCAGTTAATCATTTCTTGTTGCATTGTAGAGTGGCAGCGGAAGTTTGGAGTCTGATGCTAAATGTTTTTGGAGTGGAATGGGTAGTGTCAAGTAACACGATGGATATGTTAGAAGCTTGGAAAGGGAGTAAAGTGGAAAGTCGGGAAGGCGTGGAGGGTTGCACCTCTTTGTATTTGGTGGGGGTTGTGGCATG